GGGCTGGCGCGCGTGCAAAGACCAGTGCGGGGAGGAGCGCGCAAGTCAAATGCTACCCCGGAGCAAACGTGCCACATCTGAGTCCCGAGTGCGGCTGCCACATATGACTGCCAATGCTGGTTCCTTCTGCCACCTCCCTCCATCCGTTCCCCCCGCCCCCTGAGATCCGACGTTGCCAAGCAGCATCGCGGAACATCACAAGCAGAGCCCCAGACTTGGCGGCGCGCACAAGGGGGCAGGGGGAAGGGGACGGTTTCTTAGAAGAAGGCTGTTTCTTGGAAGGTGCGGGTCTTACATCTACAGACCAGGCCCACCGCTTCTGAGAAGCAGGGGTGCTTCTAAGAAACCTTCCCCCCCTCCCCCATATCCCCCTCTGCGCGTGGCCGACAAGACCCCATCTTCCTGCGCCATGTCTCTCCAGCCGGAACCGACCCGTGAAGGTCCCAAGGCCCAAAAACACCGCCAATCACGACGGTGGCGAACAACCCAGACCCCCCACGTCGTATTTTTTTCAAAACGTCGACCCCCAGAAGACCAGTGTTGCATCCCGGGTTGCTCCCGAAACCCGGGAAGTGCCCACAGAGGCCGAAAATAGCGGAAAAAACTCCCGTCGTGTTTTTTCACGACGCGAGGCAAGAGGAGGAGGAGGAGGAGGAGGAGGAGGAGGAGGAGGAGAAGGAGAAGGAGAAGGAGGAGGAGGAGGAGGAGGAGGAGGAGGAGGGATGATGAGGGGAATGAAAGATGGAGGCAGATCACCAGTAGAAGGAGCAGCACCAGCATCAAGCTGAGTAGAAAGGAGGATGTGGGTGGACGACGACGACGACGACAGCAACGGCGGGTGGGCGTCGGCGGCGACGGCGAACGGCGGCGACGGTGATGGTGACGATGGCGAGGGGAAGAAGGAGGAGGAGGAGGAGGAGGAGGAGGAGGTGGAGGTCTTGGGGGTCCCAGGGCCCAAAACCAACGCCAGTGGCGCACAGAACGGCGGCGCCTGGGCCTGAAGGTCGCGCCCGCCTCTCGGCGCAGGCCGCGGCCGAATGCCGAACACCATCGGCGAGGGCCGACCTAACGCGCCCTCCTCCTCCTCCTCCTCCTCCTCCCTCCTCTCCTCCTCCTCCTTTCCTCCGCCTCCCCGTCGTTCTCCTCTCTCCCCTCTCCTCTCCTCCTCCTCCTTCTCCTCCCCCTCTTCTTTCACCCCTCCTCTCTCCTCCCTCCTCCTCCTTCCTCCTCCTCCTCCTCCTCCTCCTCCTCCTCCTCCTCCTCCTCCTCCTCCTCCTCCTGCTCCTCCTCCTGTCGGCCGCGGCCGATGGCCGCGCCGTCGCCCTCCGCCGCGAGGGCCGCAGGGGCCGGCCGCCCGAAGGCCGCGGCGGCGCGGCCCTCGGCCGCGGCCGGCCCTCCCTCGGCGGCGGGCGCGCCTCTGCGCGGAGGGGGCCGCGGCCGGTCCCCTCGGCGGCGGGGAGACTGCCGCAGAGGGACGAGGTTTCACAGGGTACAATAGGGGCTCGGCCACAAGAAACCTTCCACAAGAAACCCACCCTGCGCCCCCAGGCCGTGCACTGGTTTTCTGGTGTGGGCACGTCACGCACGCTCTCCATCGCAAAACCATCGACACCCAGAAAAACCCAGGGCACCCTGGCAGCAAGCATCAAGTCGGGCGTGTCCCCCTATAGGGGGATTTTGGGCGAAAGTAGAAAATGCTAAAGAGAACCCCCAAAATGCTCAAACATAGTAAAAAAGTCGTTCCCATGCTATTTTTTGACTATCTTTGTACATTCCCCCTGTAGAAGGACAGGCCCGACTTAAGACGAGGTCGGTCTGCCCAGACCCCCTCGCGGCGCGACGGAACTCACGACGGCGGGGTCTTATCGCTGTTTTCGGCCTCTGGCGGCCCTCGCTGGGCCTCAGGGCCGTCAAAAAACGACTCAGGATGCATACAGTCATCGGCCTGACCTAAGGAACGATAAATAAGGAACGAAGCCCCTTTTTCCAAGTAGGTCTACGAAGTCCGAAGGAACGGCCGAGCCCCTCATCGGCAAATGAACCCGCGCGTCCAACATCTGAAGAAACACCAGGGGGGCTCGCCGCCAAAAAGGTAGCGGAACGCATGCAAACCCAAGGAACGACCGAGCCCCTTTTGAAAAGTGAGTGTTCCTTATTCGAGCCGCTCGCTGTAACTGGTGCCGGAGAACAAGTCGAAACCTCTGGGGGTCGACGCCATGAAAAAATCATGAGGTCGAGGGTCTGGGAAAAGTGGAGGCCAGTCCACAAGAAACCTGCCACAAGAAACCCAACCCTGAGACCCCAGGACGTCCATGGATTCTTGGTGTGGGGACGTCACGCCTTCCATAGCAAAACCATCGAAGCCCAGCCCACATAAAAACATAAGCAACCCAGCCCTGAGACCCCAGGACGTCAATTGACTCTTGGTGTGGGGACGTCGCGCATTCCATGGCAAAACCATCGAAATCCAAGAAACCCAGGGCACCCTGGAGGCAAGCAGGGTGTTGCTTGGCATGGGCCTCCCCTGTCTACCCAGACGTGCTCGCATCGTAAATGAATGAGGACGGGAAGTGTTTTTCTGTGCTCGGGCCCTGGGAGGAGCCTCGCTGGGCCCCTGGGGCAGTCAACAAGACGACTCAGGAATAAGATCTGGTCCTGGGGAAAGGGTCGGGGCTTCTGGGGTCGCCATGCTGGAAAAAACTGAGCGTCTCATGTCTGGGCAGTGGGCCACGCGCCGAGGGGGGGTATAGGGGGAGGGGGGGGAGGCTTCTCAGCGGCACCCCTGCCTCTTAGAAGGCGCGGGCCTCGTCTGTAGATGAAGAAGGCCCGCGCCTTCTAAGAAGCAGCCTGGTTCCAAGAAGCCTCCCCCCCTCCCCCACGTACAGTGGAGGCCAGGCCACAAGGAACCTTCCACAAGAAACCCAGCTCTGAGACCCCAGGACGTCCATGGATTCTTGGTGTGGGGACGTCACGCTTTCCACCGCAAGACCATCGAAACCCAAGAAACCCAGGGCACCCTGGAGGCAAGCAGGGTGCTTCTTCTTGGCATGGGCCTCCACTGTCTACCCCCTTATGCGCGCCGCCACAAACCCAGACATGCGACGTCCTGATTTTTCCAGGACGGCGTCCCCAGAAGTCCAGACCCTTTCCCCCTGGCCGGCGTTTCATCCTAAGTCGTTTTCTGACGCGACATCGGCGTGGAGGAAATCGGGCTCCGCATCGAGCCGCAACGTCGAGGCATCGGCGATGCGGCGCGATCCGTCGACCCCGTCTGCTCCGACCCCTACTACGTCGACCCCCAAAAGTCTGGACCCCTTCCCCTGGACCGGTTTTTACCTAACAGCGAAGACTGATAGGTTTCTAGTAGGGTCAAAAGAAAGCATCATGACGCCCCAGGGGGGTCTGGGCGCGATCCGGGGGAGGATGCCGGGGGGATGCCGGGGAACTCGTTTTAAGCAAACGGTAACGCACTTCGTGTTCTTCGAGTTCCCAGAACTCCATTCCTGGGCATGACTTTGAATGCCCAGAGCCAACTGTAGGCCACTTCGTGTTCTTCGTGCTCCCAGAACACCATTCCCGGGCCACATTTTGAATGCCCGGAGCCAGCTACAGACCACTTCGTGCTCTTCGTGTTCCCAGAACACCATTCCCGGGCCACATTTTGAATGCCCGGAGCCAACTGTAGGCCACTTCGTGTTTCTCGTGTTCCCAGAACACCATTCCCGGGCCACATTTTGAATGCCAGGAGCCAACTGTAGGCCACTTCGTGTTTCTCGTGTTCCCAGAACACCATTCCCAGGCTACATTTTGATTGCCCGGAGCCAACTGTGAGGCTGAGGCTGAGGCAGGCTGAGGCTGAGGCAGGCTGAGACTGAGCCTGAGGCAGGCTGAGGCTGAGGCTGAGGCTGGTGCAAGCTGAGGCTGAGAGGCTGACGCTGAGGCTGAGGCAGGCTGAGGCTGAGGCTGAGGCCGAGGCAGGCTGAGGCTGAGGCTGAGGCAAGCCGAGGCAGGCTGAGGCTGAGGCTGAAACTGAGGCAGGCTGAGGCTGAGGCTGAGGCTGTGGCTGAGGCTGAGGCACGGCTGAGGCTGCGGCTGATGCAGGCTGAGGCTGAGGCTGATGCAGGCTGAGGCTGAGGCAGGCTGAGGCTGAGGCTGAGGCTGAGGCAGGCTGAGGCTGAGGCTGAGGCCGAGGCAGGCTGGCTGACGCTGAGGCTGAGGCAGGCTGAGGCTGAGGCTGCCGAGGCTGCAGAGCAAGGGCCAGGCTGAGGCTGAGGCTGAGAGCTGAGGCTGAGGCTGAGGCTGAGGCTGTGGCTGAGGCTGAGGCAAGCTGCTGGCTGGCGGCTGAGGCAGGCTGAGGCTGAGCCTGATGTAGGCTGAGGCTGAGGCAGGCTGAGGCTGAGGCTGAGGCAGGCTGAGGCTGAGGCTGAGGCCGAGGCAGGCTGGCCGAGGCAAGCCGAGGCAGGCTGAGGCTGCGACTGCGAGAACAGCAGAATTCTACAACTGGATTCTCACCTAAATCTTAAGGGGAATGCTTCCAGATATGCTTGGGCCCGCGTCTCGCAACAACCAAAAAACTTCGAGGCGCGGGATGTCTGGGTCGGGCCTGGCCCGCTCTAGCCTCGAGCCTTCTCGAGGCGTCGGATCTCGGGAGGGGGGGGGCGGGGGGGGGGGGGCGAGCCCGCGGAGCGGGCCCGAGGGGCGCGCCCGAGGGGGCGGGGGCCGATGGGGCGGACCTGAGGGGCGGCGGCGGCGGGGGGCGAACCCGTGGGGCGGGCTCACAGGGCGGGCCCGCGGAGCGGGCCCGCGAGGTGGGCCCGAGGGGCGGGCCCGCGGGGCGGGCCCGAGGGGGCGGGCTTCGGGGAGCGGCGGGCCCGAGGGGCGGCGGCGGCGGAGGGCGGGCCCGCGGGGCGGGCTCAAGGAGCGGGCCCGCCCCGGCCCGAGGGGCGAGCCCGCGGGGGGCGGGCCCGAGGGGCGCCGGGGGCCCGAGCGGCGGGCGGGTCCTTGCCGGGTGCCGCCACGGCCTCCAGCTTCTGGCCGCTGCCCGAGGTGACCTCCCCGGGGGGGGGAAAGGGGGGGGGGAAGGGATGGTGGCACGCTGCAGACATGGTCGCGCCGGTATTTTTGGACCGAGAGAAGAAACAGTACGGCAGGTTTTCCGCTGTATTCTCTGGCCGTGGGGGCCCTCGCCGGGTCCCGGGACCGTCGGCAAGACGACTCAGGACGAAGAGCCTGTCCTGGGAACAAGGAAGGGGGCTTCCAGGGACGCCGCCTCAGAAGCATCAGGACGCCGCGTGCCCGGGAGCACTGGATGGTGGCAAAATTGCCGCCGTCGTGCATGGCGGCCAGGAGCTTGCGCATGGCGTGTCGCGGCGGCGGCCCCAGCGACACGCTGTGCCTCGCGAGCGGATGGCGTGTCGCTCCGCTGCGCTGGGCGGGAGGCCTGGGGAGAGCTCTGGAAGCTCACGCTGGCGGGCAAGGGCACGGGCAGCGTGCCGCGCCGCAGCGTGGTGGGCCAGAGCCAGCGGAGCAGCACGCTGAGCCGAAGCTCCTGATCGTAAGGTTAAGTCGGGCGTGTCCCCCTACAGGGGGATTTTGGGCGAAATAAAACATACTTTACAGATACCCCCAAATACTTATAAATAGTCAAAAAATCGTCCCCAGACTATTTTTTGACTATTTTTGAATACTACCCCTGTAGAGGGACACGCCCGACTTAAAGGTACACATCGATCGGAAGAAAGATGGTTAAAGCATAAAGTGGGAAGGCGGATCGAGTAGATTGGGATCAGGCTCTGCAAGAGAAGTGCAAGACACTGCAGAAGCACAGCGGTTCTTGAAGTGATAAGGCGCTTGAAGTAGATTGGGCTCTGGGAATCCAGAAACACCTACTTTCAACGACCAGCGCGCACGTTGGCACCCCGCCCTACAGTCAACCCGCAGAGGAAGGATGCGCGATAAGGATGCAAGGGCCTTGGAAGCCCATTTCGAAGCGTTTCGAGCGGGGCGCGGCCAACGACCGTGCCCAAGGATGGACCCAGGAGGCAAGGATGCAAGGGTACCCTTGGGAGGGATGCCTATCCTTACTCTGCGGGTTGACTGTACGGCCGACTTACTTCGTTGGCCGAGGAAGGTGCGGGGAAGGGGGGGGAGCAAGGCCGCGGCGGGGGAGGAGTAATGGGGAGGAGGAGAAGGAGGAGAAGGAGGAGGAGGAGGAGGAGGAGGACGAGGAGGAGGAGGGAAGGCGGAGGAGCAGGAGGAGGAGGACGAGAAGGAGGAGGAGGACGAGGAGGAGGAGTAATGGGGCGGGGGGGGAGGCGAGGCCGCTGCGGCGAGCGGTGGCGGCGAGGCCGACGCCGGACGAGGGCGAGGAGGACGAGGAGGCCAAGGAGGAGTAATGAGGAGGAGGAGGAGGAGGAGGAGGAGGAGGAGGAGGAGGAGGAGGAGGAGGAGGAGGAGGAGAAGGAAGAGGAGGAGGAGGAGGAGGAAGGAGGAGGAGGAGTAATGAGGCCGAGGAGGAGGAGAAGGAGGAGGAATGAGGCGGAGGAGGATGACCGGTGGAGCGACGGCGGAGGAGCGAGGCCGCGGCGGGCGGGCGGGCGGCGGCGAGGACGACGGCGGACGAGGGCGAGGAGGGGGCGAGCGTCCCGACGAGGGCTCCGTTCGCAGTCACCGATCAGCCCCCGCCCTGTGCGGGAGGTCAGCTGCGAGACGCGCGGCTCGGGCGAGAGCAGCTCGTCGGCGGCGGACGAGGGCGATGAGGACGGGGAGGGCGAGGGAGTGGACGACGGAGGAGACGGCGACGACCGCAACGACGGCGACTGCATCGGCGACGGCGACGGCGGCAACGACCATCGCCATCACGACAACGGCGGCGGCGATCGCGGCTTTCCCGTGGTGGCCTCCACAGAAAGGTTGAGCATAGCTTCATGGCCGCTCGGGGTCCTTCGCCCGCGCGGGGCCGCCGAAGTCGCCGCCGCCGCCGGCGTCCGCCGCAGCCGCTGTCCCCGCTGCCAACGCCGTGGCCGCTTGATCTCCTGCGCCCGCGTGGGGCCGTCGCCGTCGTCGCTGTCGCCGTTCATCGGCGTCGCCGTCGCCGCCCCCGCCGTGGTCGCCGCTGTCGTCGTCGTTGTCGTCCTCGGCGCCAGCGTAGTCTCGGCGTCGGCTCCGCAGTTTCCTAGAGGCGCCCCTCGCGCCCCCCCGTCCAGCGCGCGGACCCTTTTAAAATCGTCCCCGCGCGCGGATCCTTTGAAAGCAAGGCCCTGGTGTGGCTTCCTTTCCGGTCTCAGGCCAGCTCCGAGGCGACACGGGAACGCCCCGAAAACTGGCTGCGAGAAGTCCGGCGACCTGCCAACAACCGCCAGGCAACCTCCCCAAGACTCCACGATGACCCCAATGGGTCCCAAGAAGCCCTGAGAAGCCCCAAAGAAGCGCCCCAGGAGGGCTCCCACGAGACCCTGGGAGGCAACAGCACAATGGAAACCTCAGGGGTGAATGTTGTTTGCTTCCCAAAAGCGCCCCATGGAGCGTCAGATCGGCGCCAGAATCCCCCAGAAGCGCCCAAGCCTGCCCCACGAGGGCATCAACGAATGCACGGCCGACCGCGCGCGTGCTGGAAATCCGCCAGCCACGCCACCGGCTGCTCCACCTGTGAGACTGTGGCGCGCACGCGGCGCAAATGGGCTGGGTGCCTGGACGCCCCTGCCACGGTCTCGCACACGGTGGTGTAGGAGCCCATGGACGAGTGACTGCGTGCTGGCCGCCTACCATCTTCGCCCCCAGACATGCGACGTCCTGTTTTTACCCACATGCTTCGTGGGGTTGTTTTCTTCCCTGCCGCGCCGCACCCGCGACACACACCTCACTCTTCGTACAGCACAGCTCAGCACAGCACAGCACATCACAGCACAGCACAGCTCAGCTCAGCTCAGCACAGCACACAGCTCAGCTCAGCTCAGCACACAGCACAGCTCAGCACAGCTCAGCACAGCCCAGCACAGCCCAGCACAGCACAGCACAGCACAGCTCGTGGCACTGGCGCAAAGCCTGGCCAGCGTGGCATTTTCTCGACACCATAGGGGGTGCGCAGGGGGTGGTCTGTCAGCTCGGTCGCTATCCACGATCGACACCACAGGGGGTGCGCAGGGGGTGGTCCCTGAGCGCGGCCGCTATCCGTGCCAGTCGTCCAGGCATAGCAGGCGTGGCACTTTCTCGACACCATAGGGGGTGCGCAGGGGGTGGTCCCTGAGCGCGGCCGCTATCCGTGCCAGTCGTCCAGGCATAGCAGGCGTGGCACTTTCTCGACACCATAGGGGGTGCGCAGGGGGTGGTCCCTGAGCGCGGCCGCTATACCGTGCCAGTCGTCCAGGCATAGCAGGCGTGGCACTTTCTCGACACCATAGGGGTGCGCAGGGGGTGGTCCCTGAGCGCGGCCGCTATCCGTGCCAGTCGTCCAGGCATAGCAGGCGTGGCACTTTCTAGACACCACAGGGGGTGCGCAGGGGGTGGTCCCTGAGCGCGGCCGCTATCCGTGCCAGTCGTCCAGGCATAGCAGGCGTGGCACTTTCTCGACACCATAGGGGGTGCGCCCTCGAGCGCGGCGTCCAGGCTAGCAGGCGTGGCACGGCACCAGGGGGGCGCGCAAGGGGTCCCCCTGAGCGCGGCCGCTATCCGTGCCAGTCGTCCAGGCGTAGCAGGCGTGGCACTTTCTACACACCATAGGGGGTGCGCAGGGGGTGGTCCCTGAGCGCGGCCGCTATCCGTGCCAGTCGTCCAGGCGAAGCAGGCGTGGCACCTTCTCGACACCATAAGGGGGTGCGCAGGGGGTGGTCCCTGAGCGCGGCCCCTATCCGTGCCAGTCGTCCAGGCATGGCAGGCGTGGCACTTTCTCGACACCATAGGGGGTGCGCAGGGGGTGGTCCCTGAGCGCGGCCGCTATCCGTGCCAGTCGTCCAAGCATAGCAGGCGTGGCACTTTTCTCGACACCACAGGGGGTGCGCAGGGGGTGGTCCCTGAGCGCGGCCGCTATCCGTGCCAGTCGTCCAGGCATAGCAGGCGTGGCACTTTTAGACACCATAGGGGGTGCGCAGGGGGTGGTCCCTGAGCGCGGCCGCTATCCGTGCCAGTCGTCCAAGCATAGCAGGCGTGGCATTTTCTCGACACCATAGGGGTGCGCAGGGGGTGTCCTGAGCGCCGGCCGTATCCGTGCCAGTCGTCCAGGGCATAGGCAGGCGTGGCACTTTCTCGAACCATAGGGGAGTGCGCAGGGGGTGGTCCTGAGCGCGGCCGCATCCGTGCCAGTCGCTAGGCATGCCAGGCGTGGCACTTATCTCAGACACACTTTCTCGACACCACAGGGGTGCGCAGGGGCCCCTGAACGCGGCCCCTATCCGTGCCAGTCGTCCAGGCATGGCAGCGTGGTACTTTCTCGACACCACAGGGGGTGCGCAGGGGGTGGTCCCTGAGCGCGGCCGCTATCCGTGCCAGTCGTCCAGGCATAGCAGGCGTGGCACTTTCTCGACACCATAGGGGGTGCGCAGGGGGTGGTCCCTGAGCGCGGCCGCTATCCGTGCCAGTCGTCCAGGCATAGCAGGCGTGGCACTTTAGCAGGCGTCCCCATAGTTCTCGACACACATAGGGGGTGCGCAGGGGGTGGTCCCTGAGCGCGGCCGCTATCCGTGCCAGTCGTCCAGGCATAGCAGGCGTGGCACTTTCTCGACACCATAGGGGTGCGCAGGGGGTGGTCCCTGAGCGCGGCCGCTATCCGTGCCAGTCGTCCAGCATAGCAGGCGTGGCACTTTCTAGACACCATAAGGGGTGCGCAGAGGGTGGTCCCTGAGCGCGGCCGCTATCCGTGCCAGTCGTCCAGGCATAGCAGGCGTGGCACTTTCTCGACACCATAGGGGGTGCGCAGGGGGTGGTCCCTGAGCGCGGCCGCTATCCGTGCCAGTCGTCCAGGCATAGCAGGCGTGGCACTTTCTCGACACACCATAGGGGGTGCGCAGGGGGTGGTCCCTGAGCGCGGCCGCTATCCGTGCCAGTCGTCCAGGCATAGCAGGCGTGGCACTTTCTCGACACCATAAGGGGTGCGCAGGGGGTGGTCCCTGAGCGCGGCCGCTATCCGTGCCAGTCGTCCAGGCATAGCAGGCGTGGCACTTTCTAGACACCATAGGGGGTGCGCAGGGGGTGGTCCCTGAGCGCGGCCGCTATCCGTGCCAGTCGTCCAGGCATAGCAGGCGTGGCACTTTCTCGACACCATAGGGGGTGCGCAGGGGGTGGTCCCTGAGCGCGGCCCCTATCCGTGCCAGTCGTCCAGGCATCGCAGGCGTGGCACTTTCTCGACACCATAGGGGGTGCGCAGGGGGGTCCCTGAGCGCGGCCGCTATCCGTGCCAGTCGTCCAGCATAGCAGGCGTGGCACTTTCTAGACACCATAGGGGGTGCGCAGGGGGTGGTCCCTGAGCGCGGCCGCTATCCGTGCCAGTCGTCCAGGCATAGCAGGCGTGGCACTTTCTCGACACCATAGGGGGTGCGCAGGGGGTGGTCGCGGCTCCGTGCCAGCGTCCAGGCATAGCAGCTATCCGGGGGTGCGCAGGGGGTGGTCCCTGAGCGCGGCCGCTCCGTGCCAGTCGCCAGGCATGGCAGGCGTGGCACTTTCTCGACACAATAGGGGGTGCGCAAGGGGTGGCCCCCGAGCGCAGCCCCTATCCGTGCCAGTCGTCCAGGCATAGCAGGCGTGGCACTTTCTCGACACCATAGGGGGTGCACAGGGGGTGGTCCCTGAGCGCGGCCGCTATCCGTGCCAGTCGCCCAGGCATAGCAGGCGTGGCACCTTCTAGACACCATAGGGGGTGCGCAGGGGGTGGTCCCTGAGCGCGGCCGCTGGCTGGCTCGAATCTGTCCTTGATGGAGGATAGAAGGCTAGGAAGAGGGAGGAGGTTCAAGCAACACGGCGTTGGATGACACAGAGGGGAACATTCGCGACGAGGGCTGAGAACGCAGAATTGCGCATATATTATAAACTTAAGCAAGCACATAAGATTTAAATTGAGTATGTGGGGTTCCTCGGTAGCGTAATTTCAGGACGGCGTCCCCGGAAGCCGCGACCCTTGTCCCCGGGGCCGGTTTTTCGTCCCGATCGAATCGTTTTTCGACGGCCCCGGGGCCCGGCGAGGGCCCCCGGGTGGCCGAAAACAGCGAAAAACTTGCCGTCCTGATTACTGTTACGACGCGAGCAGCGAGCATGTCTGGGATGTCGTCACCCCCTGTCGCAGCTGTTGCGACACTTCGTGGGATGCCGCTGCCGCTGTCCGACGTGACCTGGCAAGTAGCCTCGGGCTGCCCAGGGAAATGCCCTGGCCTGCCCAGGGAGGCGTCCTGTAAGACTAAGCCAAGACAGGGAGAACAAAATTCCCAAATCGGACCAGGATACATCCAGGGCCTCTGAGCTCTGGCAGCTCTGGAGGATGCATCGGGCGGCGCGGCATCCTCAGGGTGTCCCGGAACGCTCTGAAAGTCCTCCTCCTCCTCCTCCTCCTCCTCGTCCTCCTCGTCCTCCTCGCCCTCCTCGCCCTCCTCCCACTCGTACTCCTCCTCCTCCTCGTCGTCCTCCTCCTCCTCCTCCTCCTCCTCCTCCTCCTCTTCGTCCTCCTCCTCGTCCTCGTCCTCCTCCTCCTCCTCCCCCTCCTCCTCCTCCTCCTCCTCCTTCTCCCCGACACTCGAGCCCTACCGCCAGGAGTTCTGGAGTTGTGGATGCGGCGACCAGGTCGGGGAAAGAAGACTGAAGCGCTCGATGCCATTCGATGTCTGCGTCTTGGCTGGCTCGGCCTTGCTGAAGGCTTTGGGCCAGAGATCCTTGGAAATCCGAGCGAGGTTATCGGTGCGATTACCCTCTACCCTACCGACACACGGCTTTGCTAGCTCTTTGAGCTGCTGAGTTTCACAGAA